AAGTGAAATGAATTATATTAAAGAAATAGAATGAATTAAAGAATGCTGTATGTACCTTTAAGTAGAAATGAGAAATGCTGCAAGCCAGGGGTCAGGAAAGCAGACATTAACTGCTTAATGAATTGCCCCACTTAAGGGCAATTGGTGAAGCACTAGCCTTAGATCGATAAGAGTTAATAAGGAAGCAGGATATGCATATTGTGCCCCATGCAAATTTTACAATTTTGCTCTCTCTGTCCCTTTGTTTAGTTCACACCCTTTTATCTGTATAAATAAGACTGTTTGAATCTTGCAAGGGAGCTCACATTATCTGAATATATTAGCAGAGCACTGTGCTAATAAAACAGAGTGGTCTGACAAACTATGAGTCCTGAGTCTAACTTTGACACCTTCTTGTTTTGTTGTTTATCCTTGTGAGAATTTTTTTGAACTGTGGTAGGAATGGGGTCTTGCTAGAGGTTTTTACAGTGAAGTGGAGTAAAAGAGAGCGAGTGAGTGAGTAGCTTTAGGGATAATACTGTTTCCTATTTCTAATAAAGTTACTTGTTCAGTGTTGGAAGAAAGCATTTCTTTCTGGGTTACCTTCCCATTGTCCCATGACAAACCTCTGTAGTTTCATTGGGCTTTAAAGTGATTTGCTGAGCCCTGGCTCTGTGAAAGATGATCAGGAGTGCACTGATAACTCCCTGCTCATTCATGACACTCATTCATCAGTGAACTGCTGGGCACTGATTCACAAGTGGGTGCCTAGTTACTTCCTACAAAGCTTCTACATCTGCTGTTTCAGACAGAGCAAGGGGAAGAGCATAATGACTTCCTGTGGACAAGGAATGGGTGAGTAATTTTAGAAGTGTTGAGCCATCACACATTTCCTGGATTAAAAAACCCCAAATAGAAATGCATTGGGAAAAGAGTGCAGCAGAACAGTGAGAAATTTCAGCAATAGGTTTTTCTCTTTTCTTTCTCTCTTCCCTGCCAGCAATAAGACAAGTGAAGATGGAAGAAAGCAGTAGACAGCTGTGCAAATAAAGGAACTGATTATCGGATACTCCATTCTGACACTTGTAACGGGGTGGGATAAAAAAAAGCTTAAAGACACATTTTTGCTCCCTATATTTGGGGACCCTGTATGGGCCTGTCTGGATTGTTCCAATGTAAATTAGAGCAGGGACTTGAACTTGGGTTTCCAAAATTCCAAATGAGAGACTGAACCATTGGGGTCCAAAGTCAATCTCTCTCACTGCTGCAATGAATAGTTATATGTTTTATACAAAGTGGAACTGTTTCAACAGGAGAGAGCCCCAGAACACCCCATAGCCCAGTAATTAGGGCATTCAGCTAGGAGATGGGGGACCTGAGTGTGGAGAGTCCCCTCTCCACATCAGGCTGAGGGCAGAATTTGAACCTGGTTGAGTGCTCTAACTACTGGGCTACTGGGTAGAAGACCACCACCATCACTGCCAGTATTCTGTGCCAGGCCTGATCTGGTAGACTTAGCCTAAGGTGGCCTCTGAGTACCTTTACCAGATTGAGCTCTATAGGCAAAATGGGCAGGGAATGCCTAGTCTGTGAATTCCATAGAGGCTTAGATGTGAATTAGGCACGAAGCTACTTAATGTTGTCCAGACCAAAGCAGCTGTGTGCCTGCCCGGCAGCAGAGATTTAGGAATCGTGGGGACTTTACCTTTGAAAACGTAGGTATCTAAGGAATGTATTGCCTACAAAGTTAGGCAGCAACTGAGTCAGGTTTTGGAAGATCTCAATTTTGGATTTAGGCTTCTAAATCCCCCTTGTGAATCCCACCCACCGTAACTTACTCCAGTCCACAGTGAGTCAGTGAGACCACTA